CTCTTCTATAGCCTACTGATCAGATCAAATGAGATATGATTGTGATGTGTCAAATAAGATATGCATTGAGACCTGTGGTACATTGCTTGACAGTTGAATTGGGATGACATGCATATGGCTCTTTTTCAGTCTCCCAGTAAGCTTCTAATTATAACGTCCTCCTGGCACTTTTATGGAGACAAAGTGTTCTATCATTCTGACTCGTGAATAACTGAACCTGTCAAACTGACAGCATATACTGCAGTAAGCCATGGCTGTGATTTCCAGAATTTTGAATGTCACCAAAGCGTACACTCTTTGTTTCTGAGGGGGAAATTGTGTGTAAAAGCACTGTTTGTGAGTCAGGTGCTTACTTCTGCAGGGGTTCTGACCTGCGTACAGAGATCTTAGTCACACCTGAGATACATGCACCCAGATGTGTTACAGCTGTTACAGTGATGTGCATTTACTGATGTGAAATGACATGGACAGCAATAGCACAAGGAGAAATGTTCATTTAGCAAACCTGCATCTGCTTTCTTAATGAAATGCATGAAATCTTTTGCTAATTATCTTTAATTTATTCTAAGCCATTCATATATGAGAGAAAGTCTAGTTGTCACACTTTTTACTTTAGTAAAAACAAAATCATGGTAAATACGCTTATTTTTGAAAGTCACAGACCTTTCTAAAAAAAAAATAATAATTAAAAAAACAGAACAAAGAAAGAAAGAAAAAGATGTAACTAATGACAAAAATGTGAGAACTTGCCCCAACCTGACATTCATGAAAAATACTAGTCCTGAGAACAACGGTCAACTTAAAATAGTATTCAGTGTGCTTTATTGTGTTCTTGTTTATGTAAAAAAATATGGCAATATTGAAATTTTAGATTGGAGGACAGAGTTCAGAAACATGATTCTGGTTTAGGGTTTTAAAAAATAGATATTTGAAACCAAAAACAACTGCTGGAAAAACTTTGGTGTACTTGGACTTTTGACTCAAACACTAGCTAGTTATTGACAGATCTTGTGACTCCTCCACGAGGCATCAGTCCATCTGGTCTCCTTCTATAAAAGTCTATTGTGGAAATAATGTGATATATGTTAAGAGAGAGAGAGAGAGAGAGAGAGAGAGAGAGAGAGAGAGAGAAAATCTACATTTCATGTAAGGTACTAGCACTTGTATTATCTGTTCAAGACATAAGGGATGTTAGAATAAAATTATTACTATTAGGCAAGTATTATTACTATTAGGTGAATGCACAAAACATGCAGCTCTCCCCCCCGTGTTTGTATTTGTTTGTTATGCTTTCTGTTTATTACTTGTTTCCATCATGTGTTTCGAAGGAACGCATTGTGCTGAATCAGTCGTTATGAAAGTAAAGCTGAGCGCTTCTCACACACTGAAGAACTTGTACCCTGACAGGAATATAGACATTTCCCAATCTCTCTGGGTCTGGGACTCGTCGGAAAACCAAACCAAAACTGAAAGGGTAAGTTATATTGTGTATTTATTAAATAACAGGACATATGTTTAATATATGCGTCTTTATTTTCGGTGTTGTTGTGTTTAGCCGTGTAGCTAACTCACAGCAGGCTAATGTTTATACTGCTCTCTGCGAGCGGAGCTACTAATGCTGACACGTTAACAGTAACATAGTGGTATGTTTGTGCATTTGCTTTAATAAAATAGATAGATCTTATACAATGAAAAAGTGTACGTTTAAACTTAATAGCTGTTGTGAAAAGCGGCTAAAATTCGATGAATCGTCTAATAAATGCATTGTTTTGTTTCGGAAGCACAGAATAGAACAACAACAACAAAGAATCACAATAACAACTTTATATTTTCTGCCTAAATACGTCAGTTACTACAGTAAAACTGTTGACTGTCGTCAAACATTAACCATGGGTTATTGGACATGGCCTCGTTTTCAGATGTGTGTTATTAGTACGACTTGCCTTAGTACGGTGCCTTAAACGTACACATTGTACATGAATATGATAGAACCATGGTATATATATATATATATCAGAATTCACATGCTGTTTAGGATCTTGAACCCATCACTTTATCATGTAGATCCCATTAGCAAAAATAAGAAATGAACTATTGTCTTTTGACAAATTATGGTTACCATTGTACATTTTTGTAAAAGGCACCAGCATCGTATTTTTTTATATTTATATGCAAACCGGTCTTACCTTTAGGGCATTTAAGATTAAATGAGAACAGGTGATCACTTTTCGTTTTCGTTATTACATGAACTGTGCCAGAAGTGGAAGTGAAACAAACAGTAAATCTGCTCCATATGGCGACCAACAAGAGTAAGATGAATCTCAGAGAAGATCTGACATGTGCCATCTGCTTTGAGCTCTTCAAAGACCCTGTGATGCTGGGCTGCATGCATCACTTCTGCAGGAGATGCATCGTGTCGTACTGGAAGACGGTTAGGGGTCCTGTGTCCTGCCCTCAGTGCAGACAAGTGTTTCCCAACAAATGCTTCCAGACCAACTACTTAGTAGCTGGTCTTGTGGAAAAGGTCAGGGCCAGCTCCACGTCTGCATCTGTCAAGTATCTGGAGGTGAGTTGTCTTTTAACAGTCAGGAAAAGGCAATTCTGTAGCTTAGTATCTTGTTTTAGACACTTTATGTGTCTCATGAACAGCTTTCAATTCCAAGTTGTTTATCTTGCCCTGCATCAGAAGAAGTAAAGAAGAGAACATATGAGTAATGTCAGCATTAAATGACAAGTTCTGTTTTTCATTAAATGTTTCTTGAAAATGTCCTTCCTCGTTTTTCCAGATATAAAGGTCTATAAAGCCTCATGATTTTTCGTTTCAAAAATCACAAGCCTTCGTCATGTGACTTGAGAATTTCCAAAACACCATAAATGGATTTTGTATTATCTGATACTGGTCCTTATGTTATTTCCAAAGCCTTACTATAATTGTGTTTATTTATAATATGCCATTTCATAATAAAGCATTTCAGACATTTTAAACTGAATGTTTTATACCACCCTACGCAATATGGTTTACATTCAATATTAACATGAGTTCACCTGTTTGTTGGTTGTTTATGTTTTATAACACAACCAGTTATAAGATTTCTGTCAGCATAAAATCTGGACCACCACCCACTTAGACAGGAAGATAGATGACAACCACAGTTCATCTTTGTGTCTTTATGCCATTAATCTGAATTAAATGTACAGCAGTGTCAGGCCAGTTTGTGACCTGCTGTAGAAAACACAGAAAATAGTGGAAATTTGAAGTTTCTGTCCGGTCAAGATTTGATTAGTTCTTAGCGATTAGCTCTTTATTGTAGAATATACTAATCGCTACAGTGATTATTAGGTTGTATCAGTCATGTGCTAACTAACAATAAAGACAAAACCATATTTTGAAAATGACACTCACTGTGTTACAGGGAAAATCTTTCATGCTTAGATATACTTTATAATACTTAAATATACTTTATTAATTTAGATTTAGATATACTTTATTGATCCCACAAGGGAAATTGTTATATCACAGCATCTTAAAAATAGCCCTAAAATTAAATTAAAAGAAAACTACAGCTCAGCAACAAACACTTATCATTAAATATGAAATAAACATGAATGTACAAGAAAACAAAACAACAAAAACATTCCTAAAGTGGTTTTTATGAAAAGTAAAATTCAGTTAAAAATAAGTTTTGTTCACTTGATTTTGCTCCAACTTTCTCACATAAACAAGTCTTGGTATCACCAATTACCTTATAATATTATACATGTATGCTATGATTCAGTACCTCACAATGAATCATAACTGGATCATAATTGAAGTTGCAACAAACAAACTGGAGAGACCCAGCGTTATCGTACGAGGATGTGAATCTATGGTATCAGTTTCAAACGGTTCGCTTCAGTGAACCTTATAGAAGTGTCTCTGAACAGTTTTTGTTTTTCAGGCTACCCACTTATTTATTTTACTTCAATAAACTGTGCTCTACAGATAAAAGGTAGAATTCTTGGACATTACATTTTTAGATGCTCTAACAAGTTTTCCTCCTGTGGAAGGGCAGCCACACATCAGATGTGTTAAACATAACAACATTTAATCTGTTTTATTTCATTTGACAACAAAACTTTTTATTGTTGACACTGTGAATACTGGCTCCTGGAATTTGCATGAAGCCAATAAAAAAAAAATACTGGGAAATTGCTGCCCATTTGTCAGAAAATGGACTGTGCTGACTAAGGCTGAGACATTCATGAAAATACCGTTTTGATTTTCTTTAATACTTTGTCTGTGTTTACCATTTGCTCTTTTCTAGAAGCAATTAAAGGACCGTCTAGAATCGCAAGTCTCCATGAAAGAGGCCTATGTCACTATGATCCGGGAAGACAAAGACAAGATGGAGAGAATAAAAGTAGGTCTACCTTTAAAAGAGAAAGTTCACAATTTGACACTTCCTGCAAACAGAATCACACAGCTCTCCCTTTCCTACCCTCAGAAAATGGGGGCTGAGCTGCAGGGGCGAGTGCACAGCGACTTCCAAGCTCTGCATCACTTCCTGCGGGTGGAGGAGGATGCCATGTTGGAGGAGTTGAGCAGGGAGCAGGAGGAAATGCTGCAGAGGCTGGAGCGACATCTGGAGGCCCTACAGGTGGCCATCAGAGACGTGGAGCAGAACATCAACATGCTACGACAGACTGCCAGCAGCACAGACCAATCTGTACTTGTAGAGGTGATTATAATGACTGTTTCCGTTTGGAAGGCTGCTGCTGCTGCTGCTGCATATCCATTTGTCATAGAACTAATATTTGGAATATTAATGTCATATTTACACAAGAACCTAGAGTGCTGGTTGTCAGAATGAGTTATTAGTGAAGTGCAGCTACAGCCAGAGCCTCATATATATTTCACACAACAGCAGAACTGAAGAAAACTAAATTCTACAGTGATTTGAGCATGTGCTGTTAATTATCGGACAGGTGGTTTGCTTCTGCTGTGTTCTTTCTAGCTTCTGTAGTTGAGTCAGTGAAATAACCTGTTCTATTCCACTTCCTTCCTCCACAGCTTCCAGAATTGAATTCCAAGTGAGTAGCAATTAAAAAGCTATTTTTATTATTATTATTATTTACCACTGTATAGATATCTAATAATGTTCCTTGTACGACTCTTTAATTGTAGTCTGTACCACTCAAATTTCACAGTTTCGGTACCATAGTACAGACTATTGGAACTATTTAACTATTTTATTCCACTATTTGATAATAAAAAATGCTAAACTTAATAACTAAGTGTGTTAGTTATTAATGATAAAAATAATTTGTACTTATCTCTATAAAACATTTAATATCTTTATATATTATTATTACAGATCGCCTCTGCAAGAGCTGAATATCAACCTGAATACTTTCAGAAGCAAACACATTGCTCCTCTTCAATACACTATGTGGCGAAAAATGTTTCAACATTTGAATCCAGGTAATTTGTCCGTTACACTTTGCCTTGATACTTCATCCACTACACACCATATATTTAATTGGTGGTCACTATATGATATTTGTATTTGTAATATTTGTTTTAATAAAGTCAATAAATAAAGTCAATATAGGAGGTATTGAAGTAGAGAAATAGCTCAAGGTATTCATTTTCTGCTGTAACAGATGGTGTTATTGCCATAGTGACAGTTCTCTGCCTGTATGAATAGCCCCCCTTGGGGCAGCAAAGGATTTGGTGATTTGTCGAATGGCACAGTGGGCTCATGTTAGACCATGATTCGGATGTCAGTTTTAGCAGCCTTCACAAATTTTTGTTTACATAAAAATGTAGCGTTACACCCTTATCAGGAAATGTTGAAATGTGGTCTGTTCTACTGATTTCATTGTTTTTCACTTCCATGTTACCCTGTCCATCAGAGTTTTAAAACATCTTACACATCAGTATAAAAACACTGTTACTGTTGTGTTTCATATCTTCATAGCACACATATCTGTATACCAGTTCCATTGGTTCATTTCATTCAAGTTGGATTTGAGGCTTTTAGTCAATATCTGTTAGCTTTAAAGACATATGTGACCCTGGACCACAAAACCAGTCATAAGGATCAAGTTTTTGAAATTGAGATTTATACATCACCTGAAAGCTGAATAAATAAGCTTTCCATTGATGTATGGTTTGTTAGGATAGGACAATATTTGGCCGAGATACAACTATTTGAAAATCTGAATAAAAAAATATTGAGAAAATCATCTTTAAAGTTGTCCAAATGAAGTTCTTAGCAATGCATATTACTAATCAAAAATTAAGTTTTAATATATTTACGGTAGGAAATCTACAAAATATCTTCATGGAACATGATCTTTTCTTAATATCCTAATGATTTTTGGCATAAAAGAAAAATCTATAATTTTGACCCTTACTATTGCTACAAATATACCCCAGCGACTTAAGACTGCTTTTGTGCTCTGTATCATGCAAAAACCCTTCCATCGATTCCAGTCGATGCAGTTTATGAGAGTTTGTCTTTTATTCCCAGGCCCAGCACCACTGATATTTGATGAGGACACCGCTCATCCCAGTCTACAACTATCCAGGAACAAAACCCAAGTCATTGAGAGTGACAAAATGACCAATTACACGTGTGATGCCAAACGCTTCCTTCAGTGTGTCAACATTCTTGCAACAGAAGGCTTCCAGTCTGGCAGGCATTACTGGGAGGTGGACGTAAGTAACAATCCTAAATGGGACCTGGGTGTTGCTCTGGAGTCAGTGAATCGTCAGGTCAGAGTCAAGCTGTGCCCTGAGAATGGGTACTGGACCCTCCGGCTGCGCAATGGCAGCCAGTACTCAGCCGGCACGCAGCCCTGGACGCCACTGACTGTGATGACCCCACCTAGCAGGATTGGGGTTTTCCTGGATTTTGAGGAAAGGAAAGTGTCTTTTTATAATGCAGATAACATGGCGCTGCTGTGTTCCTTCTCCAGTGGGCCAAGAGGAAAAGCATTCCCCTTTTTCAGCACGTGCCTCAGTGAACGCGGTCTGAAACCCCAAGCCATCCGCATCGTCCACTTCCCCTTTGAGTGTCCATCAGAGATGTAAAACAAGGATAAGAGTCTGCAGGCTATAATGAGCCCATGATTTTTAGAGGTTTTTGATATTTAACATTTGTCATCACTTTTGATTCATTAGAGCCGTGGAGCTCTCCTGACGCTAATCAATCATGAGGTGAATTTATTTTGTTTATTTTCCATCAAACAGACAAAAGGGACCACACAAAATGTTCAATAGATTTTTGAACCAGATGCCTGATGGTCCCAGAGATCTGATTTTGCAAGGATAATCAATGTTAATTAATGACAGAAACTACATTGCCATGTTACCCTCAGCTAAACGTTTTTATGTGATTCTGAAAAAATGACAACAGCATACTTTGATATGTATATTGCACAATATTCTTATCTTCAATGCCTTTATAGATATGTAAAGTAATTGTAGATATTACTTGGAAATTAATTAAAATACTTTGTTCTTTTCAGTGGGTCGTCCAGTTGTTTTCACATTCATCATTGAAAAACTGAGCATGCCTCTAATTCCTGCAACATCAGTAGTCAGTGTTTGTTTTCTCTGAAGTCGTCAATAAATGTGATCGTGCATTAGTTCGTTCTGTCCATCATTGTGTCAAAGCTCAGTGACAGGGCAGGAAGATGTTTAGTTTTGATTTATGTCTAGCTCTTCCTTCCTCTCAAATGAACAAAAACAAGCACCCTGTTCTGTTATATGTGTGATACTTTAAGATGAATGCATATAAAATGTGTATACCACAACACAACATATGATTAATTACATCTCATATTTAAATTTAAAGGGTAAACAAAATGCTGTTAGTTTATAAAGTCCGACTTTCCAGGTGGGGAGTGCACCTGGGGTGGCATCCCGGATGCTGAAGACAGCAAGGATGGGGCTGCCATTATCTGTCGGAGCAGGCAAGTGCATTAACATCCTCTTTCCTCCTGCCTCCTGCAAGGGGTCACACAAACAGAATAAGAGCAAACTGCATTATTGCCGCCTTGGGGCTGGGGTTTGGGAGTGCTTTGGCTGCTGAAAATAAGAGTCAATGCTCAGCCCTCCTCCACAGGGTCAGGTTGCCTTTAAACACACAGAACAGCCATGATTTAAACAGCCTATTAACATTCCAGCCCTCTGACTTTGTCCAGTGTGTTTGACACAGGGCTGCTGCTTCAGCCCTCGTTGCCTTCATTTCTAAAGTTGGACATGTTTGTCCTAATGTTTTCATTGACATGTTGAAAATATCTGTGTACAGTATAATAAAAGATAGCAAGTTAAATCTTTTCAACCAGGATACATGTTGCAAGATTTAACATATGGCTTAGGTTCAAATACAGCCTCTCTCTTCACAACATTATCATGGGTTACTGAAAATATAATTTTCATTGGTCCAGAAATGGTGTCTCATAAAATGAGAAAAGTGCTAGGAAAGCATTTGGCATTAAAAGAATTAGTTTGAACTGAAGCTCTACAGTTCATCCGACTTGTTTTCTAAAACACTACGTCTGAACATAGAGCTCATAATTGTTGCAAAGTTTGCAAATGTATGCAAGCCATTAATTTGGTTGTTTCTTGTTCTTGGCAGTGTTGTTAATTCCTGGTGGTGAGTGACATGGTCTCATTTCCTTCTGATGAGCGGGAGAGCGGAGTAATGTGTTTCCTGACCCCAGGATGTGGAAAAAGAAATCATGGCATTTCAAGGTCTAATCCTTGAGCTGGACTCGGCAAGAGGGAGTGCTGCGCCTTTCATGCTGCGCACCGGAAAAGGTCAATAATAATAATAATAATAATAATAATAATAATAATAATAATATGACAGTACTTTTTATAGCTTGGTTTGGTAGTTTAATCTGTACAAACTACTACTAGTACAATAATAATGTTGAGGCTTTCAGTTATTGCACTGCTACTGTTATTATATATAATGTATGTTTATTTATTTATTACAGTCTGAGGGTCACATACTTCCAAATGAACAGTCTTCCCTATTTATATAAACAGATAAAGATAGATAGAGTCAGTGGTTCAGTCAACTGGTTGTGCTTCAGCATACAGATTTTCATTGGACATCAAGTACCAATCCAACACTATACCAAACCTTTAACCTATATTTTTAATGTAGTCTGCATCATTATTTGATATACTTTATATGCATCTTGTTCATGGTTTTTAAGCAGCCTGCTCAACATTAGCATTTGTCTAATTTGTCTAGCTTCTACACAGTGACAGATGGATTTATGCCAAAACACTAGAGTTTAATTGGACACACAGATTTCAATGTCAGTAAAAAGAAAAAGTTGAAAAGCATGTTGATTTTGCTATCTTACTTATTCCCTGCTGCCAGTGAGACAGTCATAACAGACCTGCCATCTATTTTTGGATTGCAACCCGCCAGCTAACAACCGCTGTTAAAACCAATGAGTCATAACTACTAATTGCAATCTGTTCCAGACAGTACACAATCTGCATTCAAAAATTAAATTAAGTTCTATTTATTTGCTATTTCGCATATTTTCCCATCTAAAGCATTTTACAACACTTAAACTGCAAGAACAATCCCTCTGGAGTGGTGCAGGGTTGAGTGTTCTGCTGATGGGATGATCAATAATGGAATACAATAGTTATAAAATGACATTTTTCATATAAGTATAATTATAGGCATAAGGCTCGACCGATTAAGCAAATCCAGACACCCAGCTGCCAGACATGAATGCTTTCATTTGATTATTTATTTTATGGCTGTTAAAAACTCAGTCAGTTCATTAGCAAGTGGCGTAGTGTTTGTACACGTGCCAGGTAACATTATGACTTGAGAATCCCCCACCCCTTCATAACATTCATACTAATGAATGCTTCAAGAGCCAAATCAAACATGAAGCATGCCTGGGAAAACACACATGCACACTATGGCAAGCCATTTTAACATTTAATCTTTACAACATACTAGTACCTGTTTTTTTATTTTTTTTTTTATTTAGATTTTTTAGATTGATTCCATTAAGTACTATTTTTTATTTAACCTTTACTTAACCAGGAAAACCTCTCTGAGATTAAAAATCCCTTTCAGAGGAGTGTCCTGGCCAAAATGGGCAGCTATAACTAGCAATTACTAGTTTCTTTCATTAGTTGATAGTGCTTATTCTTGCTAGTGCCTTGACTTCTATGAGGATCTGTAATTCAGATATCAGTTATTCAGTTTTCATGTATTTCAATTGTGACTAGTACATATTTTTATATACTAGTAGTTATTCACTAGGACACTAGTACTTATTTTAGAAACTAGTACCTATTATTTGATAGTAGTACCTATTGGATACCCGTGTCACATTTATGGTCGGTTTTATTTTTGCTTTCTGTGTTTCCGTTATCCCTGCCCTTTCCATGGTTTTTGATTAATTAGCTCCACCTGTTTCTGTTCTCCCTAATTGCATTCCACGTGTTTATAAGCCCTGTCTGTTCCTTAGTTCTCTGTCTGCTATTATGTGTATTTGTTCGTCAATGATGTGCTACGTGTGTTTCTACTTGTTCCTCGCTCCGTGCTCCTCACAGTAGCATACCGTGACAGAATAGCAGACCGACAAATAATAATAATAATAATAATAATAATATGACAGTACTTTTTATAGCTTGGTTTGGTAGTTTAATCTGTACAAACTACTACTAGTACAATAATAATGTTGAGGCTTTCAGTTATTGCACTGCTACTGTTATTATATATAATGTATGTTTATTTATTTATTACAGTCTGAGGGTCACATACTTCCAAATGAACAGTCTTCCCTATTTATATAAACAGATAAAGATAGATAGAGTCAGTGGTTCAGTCAACTGGTTGTGCTTCAGCATACAGATTTTCATTGGACATCAAGTACCAATCCAACACTATACCAAACCTTTAACCTATATTTTTAATGTAGTCTGCATCATTATTTGATATACTTTATATGCATCTTGTTCATGGTTTTTAAGCAGCCTGCTCAACATTAGCATTTGTCTAATTTGTCTAGCTTCTACACAGTGACAGATGGATTTATGCCAAAACACTAGAGTTTAATTGGACACACAGATTTCAATGTCAGTAAAAAGAAAAAGTTGAAAAGCATGTTGATTTTGCTATCTTACTTATTCCCTGCTGCCAGTGAGACAGTCATAACAGACCTGCCATCTATTTTTGGATTGCAACCCGCCAGCTAACAACCGCTGTTAAAACCAATGAGTCATAACTACTAATTGCAATCTGTTCCAGACAGTACACAATCTGCATTCAAAAATTAAATTAAGTTCTATTTATTTGCTATTTCGCATATTTTCCCATCTAAAGCATTTTACAACACTTAAACTGCAAGAACAATCCCTCTGGAGTGGTGCAGGGTTGAGTGTTCTGCTGATGGGATGATCAATAATGGAATACAATAGTTATAAAATGACATTTTTCATATAAGTATAATTATAGGCATAAGGCTCGACCGATTAAGCAAATCCAGACACCCAGCTGCCAGACATGAATGCTTTCATTTGATTATTTATTTTATGGCTGTTAAAAACTCAGTCAGTTCATTAGCAAGTGGCGTAGTGTTTGTACACGTGCCAGGTAACATTATGACTTGAGAATCCCCCACCCCTTCATAACATTCATACTAATGAATGCTTCAAGAGCCAAATCAAACATGAAGCATGCCTGGGAAAACACACATGCACACTATGGCAAGCCATTTTAACATTTAATCTTTACAACATACTAGTACCTGTTTTTTTATTTTTTTTTTTATTTAGATTTTTTAGATTGATTCCATTAAGTACTATTTTTTATTTAACCTTTACTTAACCAGGAAAACCTCTCTGAGATTAAAAATCCCTTTCAGAGGAGTGTCCTGGCCAAAATGGGCAGCTATAACTAGCAATTACTAGTTTCTTTCATTAGTTGATAGTGCTTATTCTTGCTAGTGCCTTGACTTCTATGAGGATCTGTAATTCAGATATCAGTTATTCAGTTTTCATGTATTTCAATTGTGACTAGTACATATTTTTATATACTAGTAGTTATTCACTAGGACACTAGTACTTATTTTAGAAACTAGTACCTATTATTTGATAGTAGTACCTATTGGATACCCGTGTCACATTTATGGTCGGTTTTATTTTTGCTTTCTGTGTTTCCGTTATCCCTGCCCTTTCCATGGTTTTTGATTAATTAGCTCCACCTGTTTCTGTTCTCCCTAATTGCATTCCACGTGTTTATAAGCCCTGTCTGTTCCTTAGTTCTCTGTCTGCTATTATGTGTATTTGTTCGTCAATGATGTGCTACGTGTGTTTCTACTTGTTCCTCGCTCCGTGCTCCTCACAGTAGCATACCGTGACAGAATAGCAGACCGACAAAAAGTGAGCAGCGCCTCTCCTCCCCGTGTTTCTTTTCCGTTTTTGAAAGTTTTTTGTTTTCCAGTTTCTCATGGAGATCGCCGCTTGTTTTGC